ACTGGAAAACCTGTCTTTCAATCTGCAACACAAGAAAAGTCCTTCTTGAAGATGGTTTATGTTCATTCCCACAGAGCCAAAAAAGCTGCTCCTGCAGGCAGACCACTGTGGCTCACAAGTTCATCAGTCCTTGAGGATGTGGCTGTGGCAGAATTAACTGCTCCAAAACCAGTCTGAAACAACACAATAAACTAAATTTTGCTGATGGTTGCTGGTGAAAAGTGATGGATGTGTAAAAACTCTGGAGTGATGGTTTTAATGAAAGCAAGGGAGAAAACCCCTTTTGGTGACTTATGCCAGATGAACACCATGGTGCTGTGAGCCCTTGCAGCCCAGGTCAACCCTTGCATCCCCAAGCCTCCTCCTGCCACATCATCCAGGAGGAAACCCTCTGGGAGTTCCTCACAGTGTGTAAAACCAGTGACCATGACGTGCTGGATATCACCAAACACCAGTGCAGGAATGGAGCCTGGACTTCAGCCTCCCCTCTGACATTGGGGTGCCCTGGGACAAGTCGTGCTGCCAGCCAGAGGCAGCTGGAGCAGGGATCGTTCAGGCAGCAGCTGTAGGGGATGGGCAGAGGCAGGAGCAGGCGGGGCAGGGCAGAGCAGTGGCACAGCACGGAAGGGCTGTCATGTCTGGCCTTGCCTTGCTGTGCCCTGCCCGGCCCACAGAGGGCTGAGACAAACTGGGATGGAGGAACAAGGCATTGCCATCCAACAGCAATGAGGGGAATTGCCATCCCCCTCCCCGTCCCCATGGCAAGCCTCTGTGGGATAGCTTTTACATGGCATTCCTGATGTTTCTGGGATGGGGGCACTGAAGGTATCAAGCCAATAGCCAACTACAAAAAATAACTAACCAGAATGTGGTCCAGCATGTCACAGCTGTAGATGGGGAGCACAGGACACTGCCAGCTCAGTGTGACAGCTGCATGACCTCCTCCACTTCCTCAGATCCATGCAAACACACCAGAGACATCTCCCTCGAGGCAAGTATTCCCAGCACTTTATAACCTGTAACAATATCTTGTCCTCCCAAAAATGAGACCGAACCCAGATGAGGTCTGTCCAAGCCCTCCCCACTGCCACCTTCTCACCAGGCCCTCCTGCTTCTCCAGAGAGCATGTGAGAGAAGATGGAGCTTGAACCTGGGCAGTGAGAAGAAACCCAGGCAACTGAAGGAGAATAAAGGCTACCAGGGCATGGCTTCACCCACCTTGGTCAGGCACTGGCTACACTGAGCAGAGTATCCAAGGAGGGCATCTCTACTTGGGCTTCAAAATATTGGTAGAACAGTTTGGCAACCTGTAAGCCATTATCGTGGTGCCTTGGAGCTGGGTCTGCTCCTCCCTGTAAGAGATTTCTGAGCAGCTACTCAGGTTACTCTTACCTCATCATGCTCCACTGTCCTCCAGCAGTACCTCTGAAAATCACATGAATGCGAGGCTCATTTTTAAGATCACCCCTGAGACACATTTGCACAATGCCCACAAAAAATATCATAAAAAAATAAATCTTTATCTTCTGGAAATAAAAATCCTAAAGATAAAATAAAGGGGACAGACTTGCTTCCTAATCTAAGCATTTTCACCTCAAAATGGTAAGAGGCTCCATGTCAACCTATAGCCCATGCAAGGTCACAACTGTCCCACCACCCATTGTCTGCTCCCCACAATCCAGCTGAATCCTCAGCCAGATTTCACCAGCTGGGATTTGCTTCACAAAAACATTGGCAAGAAAAAAAAATTACATATTTTAGAAAACAAATTAATTAGTGACAACTGAAGAATGAAAGGTCGAAAGTACACAACTTACATGCAAAAAAAAAAAAAAAGAATTTACCAGCTGAGATGGGATTAGGTCTGATGCAAGTTAATGAGACCTGTGTGTTTTCTTCTGCTGAGAAAAACAACAGAAATCCAGCTGGAGATGAAAGACAAGTGTGAATGCAGAAAACAGCCTATCTCTTATCACTGCAATCTGTCCTTAAAAATTTACTTCATTCAGGCCAGCCTCTGGGAGAAAGGACCCAGGGACAACACAGAGCACCCAGATTTGTGGCAGTTCCCAGTAACTTCAGCCTCTTCATTCAGTTTTTTTTTTTTCTTTTCCCAGGAGCCTTATCCTTTTCTACCTGTTTAGTAAAAGGATTTTTTCCTTACAGCATAAATAAACTCCCCCCAGTTCCTCAGGGCTTTCCAGGAAGACAGTGCCACTCCAACATCATCAGCACCAACACCACAGTTTGTTTTTAAGCCCTGCAAAACCAGCAGCTTAACATCCATCACAGCCATGGCAGTGGAGCAGTGGATACAAGGAAAAACCATCATGCTTGTCATCTGTGTCCCACCTCATGCATTTCCAAGTTTCTTTTCCCTTTTTCCCACACCAAACCAGGCTAAGGAGCAAGAGGTGAATATTGCAACCAAGACACATCACCTTCAATATCCTACCACGAAAAATAAAGTAATACTCAACAGAATTCCCAGGTGTAAGGGGTTACAAATATTCAGACTTTATTATAAATAAGAAATACTGTTTTATACATAAAAACTGCAAGTGTTGCATTTTGTTCACCGCCCCAGACAGCAAGACCACAGATTAAGGCAAAAAAAGCTGGAGTGAAGGCACATACTGAGGGGGCCACAGTCAGGAATAAGGTGATGAAGGGATGTCACATGTCACCCATGACACCCAGCACTCCACCAGCAGCTGTCACATCATCACATTACGTAAAGAAATAACTGGACTTATACAATGAATAATGGCTGTAATGCAGTACTGATTAACAGATTGCTTATAAAGATTTTTTTTTTTTATTTAAAAATAAAATTCTGTTAAAAACAGCTTAAGAAAAAAAAAAAAACAACACAAGAGAGCAGGAAACCTTAGGCCTGAGGTCAGCCAGGGCATGCACACATCTGCTCTTCTCACAGCCTTGGCAGAGGTGATGTGGTCACAGCTATCTTCCCAGAGTGACCCAAGGTCCCTGTGTGTGCAGGCACAGGGAGCTCTCCTCCAGAGGTGTTTCCAGGCAGGAGGGAAATCCCACAATCATCAAGGGTAGGGATACAAGAGCCATGCAGAGCTTGCTGGGAACAGCAGCACTGTCTGCACCAAGCCTCCTGCCTTGCACAGTGGCACCAAGATGTCCCCAAATGCAGCTCTCTCTGACCCCCTCAGCGCTGGTCTGGTCTCCCAACAGAGCTACAGCTGCTCCCAGCTCAGCTGCAAAGCCACAGCCCCTGCTCCACTGCTGGCACAGCATCCCAGGGCACAGGGGACACAAACTGGGGGCAGCAGGCACCGTGGGGAGCAGGGCTGGCCTTGGAAACTGGGCTGGAAGCATCCACCCAACAAGCAAAGTGGTTATGGATGGGTGCTGGGGATACAGCAGAGGGAAGCAAGCAGGAGCCCAGCTAGGAGAAACCCCAAGTTTTAAGGGAATGATACAGAGAGAAGCAATACATGGTGCACCTGCCCCGATGGCTACAGGGGAAAGCACATGGAGGAGGCCAGGCTGTGCCACTCTGGAAATCTGGCTGAGTATATTTACACACACATACACACACACGAGAGACTTCCTCACACTATAATCATGATAAAAAAATGGAAAAAAAATCACATTCACACAAAAAACATAAATTTGAAATAATTAATAGCACCAGTGTGTGTCAGATAATAATTTCTTCCCCGCTACGCAAACGTACAAAGTTGCATAGTGTTTAAGGATAGATATATACTGGATCTCAGGGAAAGGGGGAGGGATGCCAGGCTGGAGGCAAGGAGGAAGCTGCAGAGGATGCTCTTGTCAGGGAGCAGGGGGCTCCCTGCTGCTCCCAGCCAGCAGCAGCACTGCCTGGGCAGGGAGCCTGCAGGGAAGCCCTGGAGTGGTGGAAAAGGCAGAGCTGCCACCTGAGCCTGGCCTGAGGTCCCTGTGCTGTGGCAGCTTTATGGTGACTGCGAGATTGGGAGGCAAAAAGAAAGGAGGGCGCCAGGAAATTCCAGCTCTTCCTCCCAGCTTTAAAACAGGCAAAAGGCAAGAGCAATGGCAGGAGAGATAAAAATCCCACTGTCCTCCTTCAGGAAAAAGATGGGGGAAAAAAAAGACCTTTCCATTTCCACTGATGTGCCCCCTTCCTTCCCCACCCAAAGACATTCAGCATGGAGGCCAGTGCAGGTGCCAGAACTCTCTGGAAGGCAGCTCTCCTCTTCAGCAAGACTTGTCCTGCTTCAACAAATTCATCTGTCAGTCTGACATTCCCAGCCCAGAAAACCAGATTGTCTGGAAATTCAGTAGCAAGAGATGGGAATGCAGCTCGTGGCTTCCACACTCTGGCAGTCTGGACTAGCCAGCAGGTAGCAGCTTTCAGACCAGACCCAAAACTGCTCCACAGAACAGAAGTGGGGCTGGCAAGATCCACCACTCCACCAGTATCCCATCTTCCCAAAGAGCCCTAATCAGAGGCTGCCTTTCTCTCATAGCAGTGCATCCTCACAGAAAGCATTTCAGAAAGAGGCTTCAGCTATTTTGCCAAAGGCTACCAACACTGTTGGATTGGCCACTACCTAATGATGAAAAAAATAAATTCACAGGGTTAGAAGTTGGGAAGAAGGATCTGAATTGAGTGCAGCTATACTGGCCATTACAGTAATACTTTGGTAGCCATCCCCTTCTTTCATAGGGATAAAGAGCTCCAGGACTGAGGATTTTACAAAGGGAGAAGACAGGAGAGAAAGTTGTGTTAGTTTTGCCTTGCTGTATACAGCTCACATGGTTATTTCTGAACCACAGTATAAAGAGTCCAGAGCATCTCTCATCCTTGCACTAATCAAAAGGAAACTGTGTCTGAGGAAGGGGCAAAGGTGGAGTGCTCAGGAAAACAATCTATATAAAAAACCCCTTTGATGCCCAAAGACGGATATTTAATTTGCTTCTCAAAAAAAAAAAAAAAAAACCCAAAGAAACAAACAAACAAAAAAAAAATCCACAAAAAAACTCCCCAAACAAAACAAAACATTAAAAAAAAACCAACAAAAAACCCCCAAAACTTTCAACTTATGCTGATTTGAAAGGAAACAGTGGCTGCGAGCAGCAGAGTTGGGGATTTGGAGAAGGCAATGTGTGTTAAGGCACTCCATGGCTGAACCACCACTCACCAGGGCGATTCCCCCCACCCCCAGCACACCCTTAGGGCTTCTCAATGGACGGGGTGTTGAAACAGCCAGATGGCAAGGTCTTCCTGATGTCTTCCAGGTTGCTAATGTCCTTCAGGATCTCTTCAATGTCCCTGTTGTAGGCCTGTATGGCATCATCTTGCTTCTTGGCTTCTCTCTCAAGGAAAGACACTTTCTGGTCCAGGTCACTGTCTTTCATCTGGTCTTTGGCACTGTTCAAGGTACCTTCAATTTCATTCAGTTTGTTCAAGTCCACTGTCTCCAGTTGCCCTGAAAAGCCAGAAGCAAACAGTGAAGTGCACTAAAACCTCTGTGGCACCCTGGGGGCTCACACAGCTGAGCCCACAGCAGATCTCCAGCAGGGCATCTCCAGCCTCTGACACAGGACCAACCACATGGGTGACATCTCCACTGCCTCAAGAAGCCTTCAGTTTGCTGAAAACCAACACAGAGCATTGCCAAACAAGCTCTGAGGCTACTTGGGAAAGAAAAAATCCCAAAGTCCTGCCAAAAACATACAAACCCCATTTCAAGAGATCAACAGATCCATCTGGTTCCTCAAACAAAACTGGCAGGAAACCCAGCACACATCAGGAAAACACTCAAAAACATAGAGAACATCGAAGACAGTCCTACCTAGCTGATCCAACAGGTCATTAATGACAGTGAGCAGGCTGTTCACAGAGTTCTTAGCTTTTCTTGCATTGTCTTCTGCCTCCTGGGCAGCCTGTGAGGCCTGTAGGAAAAAAAATGAGACCACAAAAAAGGTGTAGGGATTATAAAACTGTTGCCTCCTCTCTGCACTTAGCACATCACTGCCTTCTCATCCCAGGATAACAATCCTGCACAAAGATCTTTATCACAGGGCTGGGGAGAAGACCGACAACCTTCAAGTAATCAGTTTTCTGAGTATTTCAGGATGGGGATCCCTGAACACTGAGCGGGATTTGGCAGTAAAGGGCAGGATGGAATCAATAGGGTTATACAGTCAGATTTTAGCTATAATAAAAGGAAAATCAGCTCTCAAATTCCAGCAGGGAGCCTATGCTAATGCACCAGAACTTGTCTCCTTTTCAGTCCCACTTAAAACTTGGAAGAGTCAGAATACTGGCTGGACTCAGGTCAGTCTTTGCACGAGGAGAGCAGGAGGAAAGGCGCCATTGCCAGGACAGCAGGGAGAAGGCAGCTCCTGGCCACTGCTGTCACCTGCCAGCAGTACTCACCTCATTTGCCATCCTCATATCCTGCTCAGCATCAGCCTGCTTCCTCTTCAGCTCCTTCTCTGCATCCTGCAGCTGCTTCATCATGTCATCCACCTCCCTGGCCAGTCCTGTCACATCAGCAAAGGTCTTGTCGGCTTCGGCTCTGGTAGTAGCAGCACTCTGCAGCCAACAGGTGGGAGAGGATGGAAAAAGGTGGTGAATTCAGGGGCAGAACTTCCTTCAATCCTTCTCATCAAAATGCACTGACTTCCTATCTTGCCTTATTTTGCATGTGCAGTGGGGAATAGAGCAGGGAGCACACACAGGAGCTCCTGCAATCCCCCAGCAGGATCTCAGGGGGGTGCAGCACACCCACCTTCTGAACAGAGCTGGCAATCTTCTCAGCATCATCTGCTCTGGCCTTGGCCTCACGGGCATCGGCAGCAGCGTTGCCCAGTGCCAGCTCTGCCTGCTGAGTCTTGTTGTTGGCCTCTGCAATGGTCTGGCTGATGGCAGGGATCTTCTTCAGCGCCTCCTCGGCCGCCGTCTTGTTATCGTTCACCCGCTTGTCAAAGTCTAAGGAGGCAAAGCAGATCCTTACCACGTGCTCCAGGAGAGCCTTGGGATGCTCCTCTGACCAAGCTACCCAAGGCTTTGCTGCCCTCACACTGGAGAGATGGTCAGCTCTGCCTATTGCACATCTTCTGATGCTAAATAAGGAAGTTAAAAGGTAATTTCCAGTCCCTTATACTTTTTCTTTAAAGAAAAACAAGCCAAAAGAACACACCCAACACTCAGATAAGGGTAATGGCAGGGCCTCTCTAACTAAAATATCCTACTGCCAAGTGACTTGTCACACTGGAATTGAAGGACTCACTACAAGTGCTTCCTCTTTACCTTTCAGGTTCCTGAGAATGGTATTGGCCTCCTGTAGTGTGCCACTGCTCTTCCGAGCAGCTTCTTCAGCCAGGGCTTTCGCTGCATCTGCTCGAGCCAGGAGCTGGTCTGCAGTCTGAGGAGACAGGACACGTACCAATGCATTCCCACTTTCTGAAGGACAATCATCAAAGTGTATCAAAAAGCACTGTTAAGCCCCAAACAACAACACCATCTAGAACAGCAGTGCTTCCTCTGATATCAGATGAGTGGATGTACTTTGGGAATACTGCTCTGAATACAAAGCTGACACCACACCTGGCAAATATCTCCTATTTTCCCACACAGCCTCAAAGCCGTTGCTTTTAACCTCTGTCTGCATCTCCTTTTTGGAGCCATTTTCAGCATTCTTATAATCAGTAAATAACACTAAGATGAAATAATTTGCATCTGGCCAGTTACTTGTCTTCCTTGTTGTTTTTTTTTCCAGGAACAAAAGCCTGCACAAAGTGGAACTGACCTGCTGCTCTGTCTTCCCTTTCTCCAAGAGGTTCTTTACTTCAAGTTCCTTTCCTTTCATATCTTCTCTCAAGTCCTCATAATCCTTTAGCTTCCTGGCAATTAGTTGATCCAGTTCCTCTGCTTCCTTCTTGATTGTATTTGCTCTATTCTGCAGGTGGAAATCACACACAGAGATTCCTGAATGTTAAAGAATTCCTGAACAGGTGGTAAATTTTTCCACTTCTACATTCAAGCCAAGACGTCTGGCAAACATCTCAGATTTCTGTCTTTCAGAAACTGGGGGAGGTGGGGTTTATGTAGGTGGTTTTCTGCATTTACATCTCCTGCATAAATGTTGCAATTGCATAAAAGCTTGATTATGCGTAGATGGACAAGAAGCGTTGTCCACCGAGTGTTCTTGTGCAGAGAACAGCAGCAGAGCACATGTAAGGCATGCCAGCAACCTAGCAATCCTCAGAAATAGTGCACATGATGGTGCCCTCATGTACCTCTAGCCCTGTGGAATCCACAGTAGGCAGGCTGGTGAGGTTAGCATATATCTGTAGGGCTCTGTTTCCAGCTTCCTCTGCCTCCGCAAGCACCTTGGTGGCCTGTTTCTCTAGGTCTCGAGAAATATTCCTTGCTTGATTGTACCTAAAAAATCCCAAAGGATCCAGTTATGAAACAGTACATTCTGTAGAACTGAACTTAGGAAGAGAGTGGAGAGGCTAAGAAATCAAAAATCACCTCCCACAAAATCCAAAGCATACAGAGGGTCGTCTTAAGTTTTAAGCACTGCTCTAAAGTCAGGAAATAAAAACAATTTTCTGTTACTGACTCACTTCTGGTTGAGCTCATCAATATCAACTGCAGTTTGGTTTTCTCCAGCCAGGGTTTTCAGCAGCAGTTGATATGCTTCTGTGGAAGTGTCATTTGCAGCCTTGGCTGTGCGAACAATCTCATCAGCTTCCTTTTTGTGCCTGATGACAAAAGAAAAATAATGCCATTAGATTTGTCAGCCAATAGTTTTTATCCTCAGTTCTTGATTATATTAATCTCTCTTACTTTTCCTTCTTTCCTTCTCCCAGATCTACATATGGGAGATGCTGAAACATTAGTAATGGAAGATGGTTGCCATGTCTGTCATCCACATGAGCAATGTTTGCCCTCAGAGCTACACAGCCACCATCCCACAGCACCAGTCCCTTAAGCAGCAAAGGGTGTGTGTTTCCCAGCCAGCAAATGAAATTCTTCTTCCCCCTTGCAGAGAAGAGCAGAACCCTGACACAGACCACGATGAGTGTGTCTTGCCACAGCCTACCTCTCTGCCAGCTTTCGGGCCTCTTCTGCCAAGTGAGTCATGTTGTTGGGGTCCCCACTTTGCTCTGGAGGTGTAATGGACTGGAAGAGAAAAAGAAAGGAAAAAAAATCCATTAAAGCTCTTTTTTTATCTTTTATTTGTATTTGCTTTAAATATTTATTGTCATGATCTAAATGCTTAGAGATGTGTCTAACCTACTTCTCACTTCTCTGTATGTTTTTCTTAAGTCCATGCAGTTTCCACCACTGGTTACCCCTTGAAAAACAACGGTGCTAATATTTATTTAAGACTTTTATGTTGGTTTGGGCTAAGATACTATCTGTGACTGACAGTGGTCAACTCCCTTCATTGATTTCCCGTGATCTTGATGCAAATTTGCTGTTTGAGGGAGAGAGCAAGTGGAGAAACACGCTGGAGGCCCAGAAGGAAAGGCCCTCAGCCTCCCCCAGCTGTGTGGGATCCCAGCACACACTCACCACGTTGTCAGCTGCCATCTTGGCCCTCTCCAGCATATCAGAAGCCATGCTGATCAGGTCCTCAGTGTCCTCCACCCGCACCCGCGCCTGCTCCGCCAGGCTCTCCGTGTCCTGCACTGTGCCCTGGATGTTCCTCAGCCTGTTCAGCTGACTCACTAAGGTGCTGTTGATGTCTTTGAGACGATCCATGAGGCCCTGATCTACGTCTGCAACACAGGACAAAAAAGAGAGGAAGCAAAATTAATTAGAGCAGGAAGAGAAGCTGGAGCAGCAGCTTACCACAGCAGGCACCACGTTGGTAGGTTAATCCCCTACTGGAAGGGAACCAGGAAAAGCCATTTCACAAGTCACTTAGCTTGAGATCAAAGTCATAATCAGAATGTGCACCAAACAGGAGAAATGAAAAGCCATTAACTGTTAATAAGACAATCCTGCTGGTTGTTGGAACTGACTCTGATGGGAGATTTTGTGTTCAGAATCATGTTTCACCTCTCATGTTTACCTCATGTTTTACCTCTCTCATTGACTTAAAATGACAACAGAGCTGCTCCTCAATAGGTATGAAATGTCTGTTTGGCAAATTCCCTTTAGCTTATCTCCTAGAAATTGAGCAGAGGTGGATGAATAGTGCAGACATACATTTTTCCCCACTCAGGGAAACAATGGCTACTCCAAGGAAAGACCTAAGGAGCTCTATATGGAGCAGCCAGGAGCTGTGTAAAATAGCAAACCCACTCCAAACTCTCCTAAACCAAAGGGCTGGCAAAAGCTGTGAGCCTTGGTTTTCACATATGTAGGATTTATAAGGCACCCACACTTCACCAAATTTTTGGACCATCAGGTAACCCCCCACAACAGCATCTTAATAATGGAGGCATCACAGCACAGGTATGTGCCTCACAACCATGGCAGTAACTTTTGAAAAGCTGAGAGTGTTACCAAGGATTTAAGTGCAAGCAGAAGCCCACAGAACTCCAAAATTAAGATTGGTCAAATACCTTGGCCCTGCAGCACATCTTAAGTACTGAACATGAACATTTCACACATTTCAAAAACATACTACCACAGAAAAACAGAAAAAACTTCTTCAGGTGTGCACAGATTTTTGCCAGGGTAGTTTTTGTTGCATTTACCTTGCCCTCTTAGTAAGAGAAGAACCTGGAGCTGGGGAAGAGTTTAGAGCAGAAGTCTCATGAGGAGCAGCTGAAGGAGCTGGGAGGGGTTGAGCCTGGAGAAAAGGAGGCTCAGGGGGGACCTTCTGTCTATCCACAACTCCCTGACAGGAGGGTGCACCCAGGGTGTTGGGGGGCTCTGCTCCCAGGGAACAGGGACAGGATGAGAGGAAACAGCTTCAAGCTGTGCCTGGGGAGGTTTTGGTTGGAGAGTGGGAAAAATTTCTTCATTTAAAGGGCTGTCTAGGGAAATGCTGAATCACTGTCCTTGGAGGGATCCTAAAGCTGGGTGGATGTGGCACTTGGGAACATGGGTTAATGGTGACCTTGGCAGTGCTGGGGGGCAGGGAACAGTCGGACTTGATCTTAAGGGTCTTTCCAAATAAATGATTCTATGATTCTAAGACAGAGAGAGAGATCAAAATTCCACCACAAAACCAAATCCATTCCCTCATCTTTCTGCAATCCCCACCCTGCTACCCCCTTATGTAGGACTATTATCTAGGCAGTAAAAATTTACCTCAGCTAAAGCTGACAAAATCTTAAGCAACCATTCTCACTGGCAGGAATCTTCCCAAGCAAATGCCAGCATTAGATGTATGTTAGCTTTTTCCCAGCTTCACACAAAGGGGACAAATTTTCCCAAAATGGTCTGAAATCACTGAACCAGCTCCCAGGGGAACATCTTTTACTGCAAAGTCAATAGTCTCCTTCAGGCTTCTCTTTTCCAAAACACACATCATCTTATACATTAAAGAGACCCTAAGGACAAACCACTGTCACAGACATGACAAACATCCTGTGGTAGTGGTGACAACACAAGAATCAATTTGAAATGGAGTTTAACAGGAAAAACAGCATTCTTCAGAATATTCTACACTTGATGGTGGGATAATTAAGTTTGCCATCTGGATTTTGAAGCCTTCACTCTGATCACCAATGATCAGAACAACAAGAACTACTTGAGCCCAAGATGTTTGAGCAAATTTAAAGCATAGTAAGTGTACTGGAAAGGTTTCTGCTTGTGTAACAAATAAAACCGTCCTTTGCATCGAGAGAAGAGGGTAACACATAAAACACTTCCATCCATGCAGAGCTAGAGGCAGATCTTTACTTCCATGTACAACAAAGACCACTGGCAGAACAGCATGGATAAAAGCACAGCCACTGTTGTTATGATAACAACAGTGACTCACTGACTCAGTGTTGCCTGAAATTGCTGTCAATCCTGGAGCACAAAACTGGCTTGAAATATAACATGCTGTCTCCAAAGGGAACAGGAACATGAGGCAAAGAACTCATTTAGTTGGTCCATGTCTGATCAGGTCAACTCACCTTTGCTCTTTTGTGCTTCATGGAGCAGCTCTGTAACCTCTCTTTCTGCCTGCTTCAACCGCTCTTCGAAGGCTTCATCAGTTACAGCTTCTTCTCTGCTACCCAGATTTGCTATAAGATTTTCCAACTCCTGCAGCCTTTGACGTTGCTCTGCCACCTACATGAGAGACACAGAGCACAGCTTTGACAAAGCAAAGCACCTTGAGCCTCTCTGCTGTCAGCAACCACCAACAGTCACGGGCTGCAATGCTGCACAAGTGGACATGTGCCACCATCTCCAGTGGTACCAAGAGCAGTGTCTGTGGCCTTACCTTGTCTTTCACTAGTCTGTAGCAGGCTGGGCACTCCTGGCAGCCAGGCCAGGAGCGGTTGTAGAAGTAGTTCTCCTCGCACTGGTTGCAGCGGCTCCCCACGAAGCCCTCCTTGCACTCACAGTGTCCGTTTTCCTGGCACTGCAGCGACCGCGAGCCCTCGGGATCACAGTCACAGGCTGCAGGGGAGGAAAACCCCAGTCACACTGCAGAACAGGCACAAATACCCTAAAACTCACAGGATGAGAGGATATGCTTAATATCCTAAAACATCTGCAAGAGCTATGGGGCACAGACTCACAGTTGGACCTCCCTCCTGATCACAGTGCTTCTACCCACAAGCAGGATCCATCATTCACTGTGTGTGTTCAGTGTTGCTATTACCTCTCCCACAGAGCATTGTTCTACCCCACTGCATTGTAACCAACTAGAGTCAGCTTTCCTGCTCTTTACAGGCAGGGATATCAATAAGGAAAGTTTGGATCAACCTGCTTTGCAATCATGTTTACAAGATCAGCTGCTCCTCAAGATAGAACCTGGATACTGAGGCCACCTGCACAGTAACTGTGCAGGGACACATTAGGAAACAGGGCTGTTGGAGGCCAAGAGGCAGAGAGAATATATTTACACCAAGGAGAAGTAGATATCTACTAAGTTGGATATCTAGAAAGTTGGACAAGAAAAAGGTAACAAAAGAAGAAGAGGATAAGCTGTAGTACAGAAATCAAATTACGTCACACACAGTGTGGACATAAAAGTGCCAGCTTCTGCTGTGATGAGGAGCGAGGTGACAAAATACCCTCCCAGAGGCAGAAGGAAAGCAAAGGCAGGGCTGGGTGTGCAACATCCTTCCCACCTGCCTCGCTGTGGCCCCTCAGACTTACGTTTGCAGCCTTCAGAGCCAAAGCCGAAGTGGTTGGGCTCACACCTGTCACAGTGCTGGCCGGTGACGCCTGGCTGGCACTCGCACTGCCCCGTCCGGATGTCACACTGCCCGCTGGTGGAGCCCAGCGCGTGGCAGTTGCACCTGGGAGAGGCAGAACACGTCAGATGTGACACAGAAGGGACAAGTGAGGCCTCTCTGAAGAGCACAGCTCAACATTCGCATTTGCCAAAAGCCGCTTTTCTTGCTGTGAAGATGCAGCAGGCGAGGCACTGAGCTTTTGAACCATGCAAGGTCATTGCTGCCTGCACTAAAAAAAGAGCCCAAGAGCCTGCTACAATCACGAAGTCATGTGGCAGTTTTCTATTTAAAACCCTGATTTAGAGCTCTTTATAAGGCTATTTATAAGTCAGACTTTTTGTACAGCCTTAGTAGCTGCTCCTTGACCACTGCTCTTCCCCACCCACAGCAGCAGAGGCACACCTGTTACTTGTGACAAACATCACATTCCTGCACAATGTAAGCACAGACCCTCCAAAACCAGGGTCTGTGCCCCAAGCCAAGCCAAACCTCACCTCTCACAGCCACGTCCACTCTGGAGGTTGAAGAATCCAGGCTCACAGGCACTGCAGTCCCTCCCAGTGACATGAGACAAGCACTCACACTGCCCAGTCACTTGATTGCAGATCGTCTGCTGATTCACTGTGCCGTACGGATTGCAGTGACAAGCTGCAAAAATAAAAAGGTACGGAGAAACATGCACAGAGTTAGAAATCCCTTGTGGTGTTGGTACTTACCCTAATGGGCCTGGATCCAAACCACATGGCCACCCAGCCCCTGCATCACACTAAGTGCCCACAAACACAAGGCTTTTAGCAAGCTCAAACCACCGAATCAGGGTAATGCCACACATTGCTGCTGATGGGCACAAGTGACAGCCCAACAGCAGCTCCTGGTGACAGAACCATTTTTAAATGCAACAAGAAGCAAGTCTCACCTCTGCACTTGTCCGAGGGGTCAGAGGCCAGGGGGTTCCCAAAGAAGCCATCCTTGCAGCGGTCACAGTAGAAGCCAGCAGTGTTGTAGATGCACTTGAGGCACTCTCCGGTCTGGCGGTCGCAGTTGCCCACGGCGTTGGGGTCGATGTTGTTGTTACACTGGCACAGGCGGCACGGCCTCACCGCACCATTCCTGCCCAGCGGGTCTCCGAAATAGGCATCATCACACAGCTCACACCTCTTGCCTGGGACACAACACAGACACGGGTGCTGCAGCAGAAAGCCCTGTGCTGCCATCTCACATGGATCCCCTCTGCCATCCCTTCTGAAAAGTAAACTCTTCAGCTTCTTCCCTTTCATCCCTCTGCTGGGGCCAGACACAAATCCCTCCCCATCTCTAAATTCAAGCTGATTTTTTGGTGGAACTTTGCATTATGAATTATTTCCACTCTTCCTTCCCCTCTTATCCCTTTAAGCCAAACCTATTTGCTGCAATTTGTTGTTAATTTAAGAATCCCAAGAGGTAGAGTTCCATGGGGCATCACTGCTCCAGGAAGCTCCTCTGCCAATGAGACCTGCCAAACCTCCACAGGCAGCCACTGAAGCATCCAATTCAGCAGCTGCCTACACTTACTGCAGATCTGACCTCCCCAGCCAGTTATGAGCTCCATTTCTTAGGCAGTTCTTGCACAAACAAACCCCCTTTTCCCTCACATCCCAAAAAGGTGATGTGAGACAGGAGAAACTCCTCTGCAATCACATAGCTACAGGAAAGATCAGCTGCTACAGACACCTGAGCTGAAGGGCACCTGAGGCCTGGACTCTGCTTTGGCTCACAATTCAGTAGCACCCACAGGAACCCCCATGAGCTGCTTATGTGCTTGGTCAGAGGCTTTCCTAAGCACTCAAGAATGTACAGGTATTCTGTACTTTGGACTCTGCCATGCCAAGCATAAAATCAGCAGAGAGGCATGAAGGCTGCCAATCATCCTATGGCTTCCTTGCTGCTTGCAGGCAGAACAAAAAATTCTGCTTAACAACTCAGTTATATGCCTGGACTTCACAGCTCATTGCTAAGAAAAAACATCAGTATCTGTTCACATATTTCTCCTTTAAATTGCTGAGCACTAATTTGATCTATTTTTTTGGACAGCATTTCGTGAGTCATTGTAGCCTTCCTGCTCTTCCTAGGAAGCATCCTGTAGTGCCTCACTTGCTGGCAAACTGCACCTTCTAATTTTATTTCAGTCTGACCTGCCTTCCTGGCTCTTTTAAATCTATTTTCTGCCCAACACCATGCCATCATCAGAGCTCTACTGGAAGGCAGCATATCTCTCATATACAGCACAGAAATGCTCAGACTTTGCAGATCAAGCCTTTTGTTCTCAAGAAACAGGCATGAAAAACTTGTGAAACCCCAAGCCTCACACAGGATAGAAAATAGGGCTGAGGAAGGGAGAAGGATTTGAACCAGAAGATGCAGCAGCTTTCACTGTGGATCAGAGAGCAAGAACTAGCAGGAGACATTTCCACAAGCATGTGGATATGGAGAAAGATGTTTTGTGTAGGAACACACCTGTAGTGCCAGCCTGGCAGCTGGTGCACACCACCTCCTTGGTGCGGGGCACGATGGCACAGCTCGAGGTGCCCGGGCACGGGCAGGGCTGGCAGTCCGAGGCTGTGCCGGCCGTGGCATCGCCGTAGTACCCATCGCTGCACTTCTCACAGTGAGTCCCTGCTGTGTTATCCCTGCAATTGCACATGCCTGCAACAGAGAGGGACGTGAGTTTTGCTTCACTGTCCAACCCAGAGAAGAAGCAGCACGCTCCTGCTGCTCCCAGTTTGTCTCTTACCCGTCTCGGGGTCGCAGGTCTCGCTGTGCCCGTTGCACGTGCAGGGCACGCAGGGGCTGTAGGGCCCCAGGCCGGGGCTCTCTCGGCGGTACCCGGAGGTGCAGCGCTCACAGAACTGCCCCTCGTATCCCACTGGGCACGAGCAGCTCTCCACCCAGGCCACAGGCACACCGGGTCCAGGGCGAGCACTTGTGATGGTGACATCGTCCAGGTGACCGGCACCTAGAAAGCACCAAGGGACAAACCCTCTGTAATCACAAAGGTTATCATCACCTTCTCCCCAAACACAGCTGAATGAGGGGTATGAGGGGCAGACAGGAGGGTGTTTGCAGTTGGAAAAATGAATCAAGATGCAAAAATGAATCAAGATGCAAAACCCTCCAGGAAGGTTTAGAGAGATGAGCAAAGATGCACTGGAGCTCACCAAGGGAACATGCAGGGTACGAAAGCTGAGAAAGACAATATAGAGGAGAATCTGAGAACAGCAAGTACAGTCAATTAAAATTAAGTTATATTTTACATGTGTATGGTTTCCATTTCCAAATCAAATACCAAAACCACTCCTGGCTTTCAAGCCAGAACAGAGCATGTCTCTAACAATTGTAATACACAGTCTGCAAACCATGCCTCGGGACAAACTCGCCAACTATTCCTCTCAAGCCATTCCTTCCTCTGGCATCTCAGCACTTCCCTCCTCTACTCCCAGCCCCTTCCCTGGAGCAAAACAGAGCTCAGACACAACATAGCTGACTTTAAACTTTTATCACTGTGTCTGTACCACTGCAGCAGCTCCACTGCACTGAGCAGAGCCCCAGCTCCTATACATTAGCAGTGGCTACAGCACTCACAGATGGTTTGCTCCACACCATTCTATCCCTCCATTTCACAGCCCCACATTCTTCATTATGGGCCACCCCTCTGAAACACTTGCAGTTTTCCCACCTTTCCCAAATGCAAATTCATCCTTTGCATCTTTCTGCAAAAATTCATCACAAAGCAATACCTAAGGACCTACTTTTGCTTCTAATTCATACTCATTTTTATAAGTCTTCATTATGAGGAACTTTCACTCAGGTTCTGCACAGGCAGCATTTCAGACCTTGTCCTTCCCATTTGTCATGTCAAAGCAAGACCCAGAAAGAGGGGAGATGTGACCATTTCCAGTGTAGCAAAACTTAAAGCCAAGTGTTGTAAACTTCCTACATCCTCCTTCAGTACTATGTATTTTTACCAAATACTGTACTATGTATTTTTACCAAATGGAGGATAGTGGCTATTAAACAAAGAAAAATTCCCATGTCTAGAGCAAGGAATCAGCAGTTGCTAAATGTTCAGCTTTCAGACATTCAAAGACAACACTTTTCTTTCCCATGTCCTCTTCAGGAGGCCTGGGAGAAAAGCCAGGTGAAAAGCCATTGGCACAAGCTTTGCCAAATAAGCTGCCACAGCTGCTTATGGCTGGGCCCTACAATGAAGCAACCCAAACAAACCAGTTTACCCCCTCTTATGTGACGTTCTGTTCAGTGACTTACTTCTCTCACTGTATGTCCCACGGATCTTGATGGAAGTCAAGTTGTGGAGAAGCTTTTGGAATTCAAATGCTGTAAGAGCAGGCCTCCATGGGTAATCTGCAGCCTCATGGAGCCTGGGGAGAAGAGCCAAGCATGATCAGCACAGTTTTCAGCTGCTAACAGCTGCACCCTCTCAAAAGCTCCCTTTGCAACAGTGCTGTGCTATTGCAACATCACCCACATAACTTCAAACCCCATGATCTCCGTTCCCTCAAGAGTTCAGAGGCCAAAGGCAGCCCAGCCAGGTGACAGCTGCTCCCACTGTACCTGAAGGTGTAGGTCTGCACATTCTCACTGGGGTAGGAGTTGCCCTGGGCAATGAGAGGCACAGACACTCTCAGCCCAGCCCCTTCCAGCACCAGGTCCTCTGCAGAGAGGCGCGTGTCCCGCCTGTCCACACGGAAGGAGAAGGTCAGGTTTTGCCCGTAACTCAAAACCTGGTTGCCCAAGAACTTGCCTGAAAGGAGCAGAAATCCTTACAGTTAGGGGACAGAACACAAAGGGCACAAGCAGCACAGAAAGCCATGCTTTTGGAATGACCTACGTGGTGCAACGAAGTACATGGGGAAGTAGGTGTCAGAGATAACGGAGATATCCTGGGTCTCAGCACTCCACTGCAGCAGGACCTCTGAGCCATCTCGCTGCTCAGCACGCCACTCATCCTCTCCTGAAGAATCACACAGGCAAGAATTAACACCCTTGGAAGATGGAGATTTGCACACACTTCTTGCATCACACTGTTCGTGTCTTAGCTAATCTAATGTGTGTGGGCACTGACAGGCTGCAGAAAGCAGCTGTGCAGAAGAATTCAGATAGTAAACACCACTTTTCCAATTTAAGCCCCTGACTCAAGTGCTGACTTGAAACCTCTGAACTTTGAACCCTCTGATGACTACTTGTCCAAAATCTTCTTTTCTAAAGAGCATAAGCAGAGACAGAAAAACCTGCAGGCCACTACAGTTTGTTGAGAGCTACAGTCTTTGTATGAACTGTTCTCCCATGGAATTTTAATTAAAAAGATGTTCTTTTCAGACTATACAGCACGAAAACATGCATACACATGAAACTGACTGCATGAAAGAAACAGATTTTTCCTGGGCTTACACTCATTGGAAACACAACTGCATTTTATTCAGAGCCATGTAAACCCCAAATCTGAAGTGATTTTGATCCTCTCAATCAGAAAGTCCTGACTTGGTTCTAGAACTGAGGAAACTCTGCTTTGTCAGTACACCTCTCAGGCTAGGAAAGGTTTCTATTTGCAATTCCCACTCGCACCTGCAAGGTGTACAATAACTGTGTGCCTGAGGCCAGAGCTGTGAATTCATGCCTCCCCATCTGAACAAACAAGCTGCAGACATGGAAACTTCAGCACTTCCAAAAGAGGGATCCTAGCCCTGCCTGCCCAAGGTTTGTGGTCTTGCACAGAAAGGAAGGAGCTGGGGCTTTTTAATAGCTTCTGACTTGAGTCCTCAGCCCAACCTGAGATACAAAGGAAAGCTCAGTTTTACCAAACTCGAAGTTGGAGGTGATGCTATAGATACTGTAGCCCATAGCACTGGTGCAGACTGAAGAGTGTCCAAAACAGAAGCAGGGGGTACAGCCTCTTGGATTGGAGGACTCCAGATGGAAAAATCCAGGTTTGCATCTGAAGATGTGAAGGAAAGAGAATTAATTTCCCTGATGCTTAACCCCAGGTCCTTGCTCAAATGTTTTCCATTCTTGAAACAAAGCCATGGGAAGAAAAACTCACCTCTCACAGTGGAATCCTTCCACATTGTCCTTGCACGCACACCGCCCTGTCTCAACATTGCACTCCCCTGTGCTGCCAGCAGCATTGCAAGAACAGGGCCTGGGGGAGTCAGGAGAGTTCAGTAAGAAGCACATAGAGAAAGCTTTAAAAAAAGCCTAGTTTTCCTCTAGAGAGCTGCAATCCTCCTTACCTGCAGCCAGCTTCGGAGAGAGAGTGGAACCCTGGCTGGCACCGGTCACACTTGTCCCCCATCACTCCGGGCTTGCAGCTGCACTGGCCATAGCTGTCACACTGTGTGCTGAGGGAGCCTGTGGGGACAGCAGGGACAGCCACCTCAGCACACACACACGGCTCCGTCAGCTACTCACACTTCACACAATGGCCAAGAAATAAGGAAGAAGAAAGAGCGAAGCACAGCCTCAAGCTGATGAGTGACAGCTTACCTAAAGACTGCCTCTAGCTCACAGGGATTTTCCCCTGGCAGCTCTAGACAGATGAGCTGTTATCTAGTCTTCCCAAATGATATTCAGCCTTTTTTTTCCTAACAACTAACCTTTTTATATATAAAATATAATTTTAACTCCAAATTGCCCTCTCCTGCTTCATTCTCAGTGCTACATTTGCATGCCTCCAATTCCACATCTGTTGTACTTTGCAATATGTAATTTCCAAGATTTTATTCCCTGAATCCCTTGTGCTCGCTGTAATCAGCATCTCCCCTTACCCTGACCTCCCCCTTTCACACTCCAATTTCCTTCCTTGATTCTTAAGCTGTATTTAAAGACTAAACTACCTCTTTGGAACAAGGCTGCACGTGCCACTATGAATCCTAGTAAACTCATGAGCAAAACCCTTATTTTCGGAAGTATGCCTTCCTCAGTACTGCTCTATTCAAGTGGTCTTGCACAAAAAGCAGCAGCTTTCTTTAATCCACAGTGGACAAAATGCTTTCTCCCAAGCATCCATGTAGCTGCCAGCCTCGGAGCTGTCAGCACTGTAAGAGTTAACTAGCAGGAGAAAAATATTTTAATATACAGAAATAGTTGCTTGTTTCCACTTCAATCCACACCAGAAGATTACGGCAAAGTGAAGAGTTATAAGATGATTAGGCTGGACGGGACAGAACAACTCACAAAACCTTTACCATATACAGCTAAAGTTCAAATCCCCTTTGCAGTCCCACTTAGGATTATTTAGGAAAAAAGAGTACTTGATAAAAAATACCAATCCAAACATATCCAGGAGATTGAAATAGACTCTGGGTGTCAGTGAGTCATGGCATACAAGCTAATGGCTAAGTTATAAAGGCCTTTAAAAGCTGTCCTTAAAGACCTGAGAAGTCAACTCCCTGCATCTTTTCAACCATCTCTGCTCACACCAACCCACACTCCTCTTAAAATAAGGTCTAACACAAGGACCCAGGAAAGCTGTCAGAAGAAGAAAAGGCCTTTATTGGTCAAAAATTTCACAAGTGAATGACTCCTTGACAAAATTAGATGGGAGATGTACCCTGGCAGATCTCTCCCTGGCTGCTTTTAGGGCATGCTGCAAGCAATGACTTATGCCAGCTTCTCTTTTGAAACCTCACATCATATCTTACTATTTGCTACCCTTTTCCCTCCTTCCACCTTACTTGCTGTGGGCTTGGTGTAGTTATAGGATCACTCCTTACAGTTTAGGTGGCTCCCTACACAACAAAAGATATAGTCTCCTGCCACAGTTACCCCCATCCCCATTTATTTTAAAGGAGTTTAACTACACATTTTGAGTTTAATTTGTTTTATCTCACCCCACCCTCTTTTGTGTTTAATGTTTCACTGGTTTGTATTTATAGTGCTTGGATACTCGGTAGGAGAAACTGATGCAGCAGCTCAAGTTCACTACAATTTCTCAGCATGAGCAACTTCCAGAAATACCCACTCACATAATCTTGGTTATTAAGAATTTAAATGAGTTCTTTAGTACTGGGAGCATCCAGGGTAACACATACACAGTGGGGGGAAAAAAAAAATCTATTTCAGAATACATTCAAAGGAGTAAGTGTGCAGAGGTCACCCATCTAGCCTTGCCACCCTAACTCCATTTAGATCCAAGGACAACGTAAACCAAAATACAACCCAATAAACATTTCCTACGTGGGAAAAAAGACAAGCAATCCAAACAAGCCCACAACGAGCAGCACGAGGGAGAGCAGAGGTGGGTTCTGTGCTGTCAGCGTGCCAGCAGCAGCGCTCACTCACCGACGGGGTTGCAGCTGCAGGGCAGGCAGCCCTGCTCGCTGGCCAGGCGGTAGAAGCCGTGGCGGCAGCGCTCGCAGCGGGGCCCATCGGTGTTGCCGGCGCAGTTGGTGCAGTGCCCGCCGTGGCCCGTGGCGCGGTACAGCTCGGGGTCGAAGTAGCACTCCTGGGAGCGCCCGCTGCACTCACACGCTGCGGAGACACGGCACCGTCAGTGACCAGCCTGTCCCCACAGCACACATCCCACCCTCAGCTCAGCTCTAGGCGAGCTGGGGAAGGAGCTTTAACCACTCTGAGACCGGAAACAAACTCGGCACCACGCTCATCAATGCCCAAAAGAAAACCAGCATTTGCTACCCCACTTCTTTCAACATCAGGCTGCCACTTGCAGCCAAAATGTTGTCCTCCCACACAGCAGCACCGATCTCTGTCATGCAAACAAGCATGAAAAGGTAACATGAGGCTGCCCCATGCTGTAATGAGAGCTTCTCCCCCGTATTGCAAATCCCTAGACAGCGGGACATCCCAATTTCACCAGCCCATTGAGGGAAGCCACACACAGCTGGGACCTATCTAGACACACAGAGGTCAGACAGGAAGAAAACTTTTCTGTCTGAAAAAGCTTCCCCATAAAGTAAACTACCAGGAGCTGTAGTCTGGAACAAAATAGCAAGCAAACTGGTGTTCTGTGACAGAGACCTGCATCTGCGGTCTGGAAATTAGGTTAAATAATCAACAAGTAACTGTAAAAGCCAATAACCCAAACACAAAAATCAGCTGATGCTAAATGAGGAGCTTTTGAAAGGGCAATTATACTCCAGCATAGTAAACAGATTTTTTTCCCATGGGCCTCATGAAGTACAAGCCTGTACATTTCTTTAGGAAAGATGGGTGTTTCCCATCCTTCTGCAGAAAAGAGATGCCCATTCCTAGGGATCTACCAGAAAGCTCTCACAGGACAGGAGTAGAATGACCAAGAGTCCCATGAACTGTGCTTAATGCTGGCTGTGACTGAAGTTGGAAGCAGGCAGGGCCAGCTTGTGGCTGGCAGCAGAGGCAGGGCCCTGCCCCAGCCAGGCTGTCCCTGTCAGCCCACATACGCAGGCACTCGTTGGCGCTCTCGGCCGTCGCTCTCCTCCACGGGCGGTCGTTGAAGAAAGGAAGGCACTTCTCACAGTCCACCCCAAAGGTGTTGTGCTTGCAGTTGCAGACCAGCTTGCCAAGCTCATTCTTCACACACTCACTGGCGTGCCCGTTGCACTTGCACCTGGTTGAGGTGAGGTAAGAACAGGTATTAAAACTCCAGGGCTCCAGGTCACTCACAAAGCAACAGCAAAAAACAGGGCCCAGATCTCAAAATCTGAGATGAGAGAAATTTGAAGGTAAATTATTACAACAAAATCGAGAACAAAACTGCTGTCATTCTGCCTGGAGAAGAAGGAGCTTCATTGATATCTTATGGAGGCCTTCTAATATCTAAAAGGGGTTTACAAAACAAAGAAACTTTTTATCAGGGCATGTAGTGCTGGGACAACGGGCAGTAATTGTAAACATCTCAAAATTTTAATTTTGATTGGACAGAAGGAATCAATGAGGGTGAGGAAGCCCTGGCACAGGTTGCCCAGAGAAGCTGCGGCTGCTCTGTTCCTGGAAGTGCCCAAGGGCAGGCTGGATGGGCTTGGAGCAACCTGGGCTAGTGGAAAGTGTCCCTGCCCACAATGGGGGTTAGATGATCTCTGAAGGTCCCTTCCAAACCAAACCATTCTATAAACAAAGAGGTGCAGCCTGCTCTAGGTAGGCATTTAGAAAGGGAAGAAAGTTAACCAACTCCTTTGCAGTCTTCAGACTAACCTGAGTAGGAGAAGCAAAGATTTAGCTGGCTTTATGTTAGTAAATTATCCATAATTTCTCTCCTGTGAGAGCCCAGAACATGGTAGGTTCACTGAGTGTGGGTTATTATGGTATCAGTAGGAAATTAAATAGCACAAAGGGGACTAATACAGAAGTCCATGCACCTCCAGACTGGTGGTGCAGTCAATTCAAATCCCCGTGTGGCCAAATCCCACTCTCAGGACTGCCATATGCAAGCAGGCCAAAACCCTGCAGTGGTCTCATGTCTGTTAGTAAAACATTTTATCATCAACTACTTAAGGCTAAAATATTCTATCATGGATGTTGGCAAAAGGAACGAACAATCATAACCATGTTGTACTGTGTTCCAGACCTCCAAAGGAGATAGCTTCTTCAACATATGTGAAGTAGAGACACTGAGATTTTCTACTTACTGTTGAGAGTGCAGACACAGGATAGTATAATTGAAAAACACATTAAAAACCACACAAACCACAGAGCAGAAAAGATTTTCTTCTTTTGTTTTCATTTCAGTTAACTCTTTTTACCATTTACTCTCTCAAATCACTTTATATTTCATCTATTCAATCAAAAAAAATTATCTCTGCCAGCCCTGAAGTTATGGCACAAAAGCTTATATACAATATTTGCAAATTACATAAAATTTATTCTAATGCATGGACAGTCAGTAAAGACCAGAGCCTATTGGTATGATGTGAATACAATCAGTATCTTCAAAGCAATCTAGTAAAACTAACCAAAAACTTTAGTAAACTTTAGAGTTTTATTGTCTACTCACCTACCACCCACAGCAAAATCAGAAATTGCATAGTAGTAAGACTTGAGAACTTTTGGGTCATTAAAAACTTCATCTCCAAACGTGTTCAGACGGTTGAGGGTCACTCTAATATCTGTAGCTGTCACCCATTCCTAGAGCAGAGAGAAATCCCATCAGATGAAACACCCTTTCCCTTGAGAGAGTACCAGTCATTAGCAGTTCTGTTAACGAAGTCCCTCCTCAGCAGCTGGGTCCTTCCTCATTGTTTTCCCCTCTGCACCTTGGGAGCACACACGTTCCTGTCCCAGAAGCCTTATGCCACATCCTCTTGGTTCAAATGGGTTTTCCTGACCCTTTCTCCTCTCTGGAGACCCTTTCCAATGCCTCTTCACATCCTGAGTGCTTTCAGCTGGGAAGCACTGAGTAACCTCTCCAGCACAAAGTGCAGGGCAGGCAATTGTGCCAGCTTGCTAATTGTATGTATCTGTCTGGCTGTAGTTCTCTTGCAAAGCTATGCAGCACCAATGGGAAAAGCTTTAGGGTATATTTGTCTGCAGGCATATTGTACCAGACTAAAAGATACAGACAGACAAATGAGTGAGGCTGGGGGAGGCTGAGGAAGAAAAACAGACAGATCTGACTTGCAACACAAGAGTTTTTCATAATATTTATACAGTGTCTGTAACACAATGCCCTGCCCTCGTGCAGCAGCAGCCAGCACACACAGCCTGTTGCCAAATTTCATATCACATTCTAGCAGTCACTGACATTGGCACCTCCTTGGTTTTATTATACCCTCTACAAAGCTGTTTTCCTTCAAACACCATAAAAAAGAACACAAAGAAACATCTGATCTGGTGGTCAGATCTCTATTCCTTACATAGAGAAGCTTATCAGAAAATTATACAATTGCTAACTTGCAATCTCCTTGTTCACCTTAATGATAAGACATGGTTTTCTGCAAGGGTTGGCTACATCAATGAGGTGGCCAAACTGGTTCTTTTCCACTTCAGAAGTTCTTTGTCCTTTCCCATTAATCTCATTTTTTCATTTCACTTTAGTTTGCAGAATCAACCCCACCAGGTTCTGCTCTCCTGCCTGGGAACTGGAAACAGGCAAGCCCTGAGCCTGCTGGGTGCCTGTCTCAGACTACTCCTGCTACTCTAAGAGCAAAGGGAAGTGATGGTAAATACAGCTCTGAAAGGAAGACAACGAGCCCCAGTGAGGCAAACCCCACAGCTTTAGCTCCTTGTTGCAATAAAAACTGGAGAAGTCATCAAGCAGAACACAAAAATTGCCAAGTATGCTCCTGACCACTGCCCAAGCATTCCTGTGAATGCAAAATAAAACATTCAAGAATGTTCAACAACAAAAGACCCCTGCCAAAACCCTCTTGCCAAGCCACCTGTAAGAGAAAAATACCAAGGATAAAATCAAACTTCTCTGCTTCAACACACATGTGAGAAAACATGGTAGGGACTCCTGTGCTTTATGTATTTAGAAGAATCTAGTATTTCTCACTTTTTTCTGCTTGAAATACACATGCAGATGCTTCAAATATTAACTGGACTGAGACTTTACCTTGCCTGTGTCCTCGCATGTGAAACAACAGCAGAATGTCCACAGCTGCTTTCTAACTTGGCAGAGATCTGAAGACGTCCATCATCCCTACTGACAAATCCTTAATGCAAACCCTTAATGCCATCAGGTTAGCTTTTTTGTTCCATAATCTTCCTATCAATAAACACAAGAATTCAACTTTTCCTTCAAAAGCGTCTCTGTGGATTGTCCACCCCAACTCAGCTGGGCAAGGCCCTTTCACTATGAGTGAGGGCTGCAGTGCAGCCCAGTCAGCACAAACCCACCATGAACAGCGACTCAACGGGAATGCTCAACTCAGCCCACCTGCCTGAGCCAGTCCTGCTGACGTACCTGCAGCACAGGGCTGTTGTCAAAGTTGTAGGCACTGGGGCGCCCCTCCAGCGTGGAGAAGGCCACGTTGCCCCCGGTGAGGGGGGAGATGTCGCTGAACTCGTCGGTGCAGAGCGCCTGCTGCTCGTCCTCGCCGGTGCGGATGAAGCCGCGGTTGACTTTGCGGTAGGTGCTCTCGCAGGAGCCGCTGTAGTACTGGTAGGGCACCCAGGGGCCGTCCTCCCTCGTGCGCTTGTAGATGGCAAAGCTCTCGGGACGGCTGGTGTGGAACTTGAGGCGCACGTACGTGATGTCAAAGGCTTTTCCTGGGGGGGACAGGAGACACCTGTGACAAAGGCTCAGAACTGAGAGAGAATGCAAAGAGCTGCACTGAATTTCTCTCCCAGCATGATGCAGAAGGATGAACGTGTCCACCAACACCACAAGTATCTCCTCCAGTCCAGTATGGTATCTCCAAGCAAAGACAAGACAAGGTGAAGGAACTGAAAGCAGAAGTTGAGGGCAGGCTGAGTAGATAAATAAAGAGACCTACAACCTTCTGTGCAACCAAACACATTCCAGAAGCTGCAATTCTCTTCCATATACATCTCTAACAGATGACAGACTACATCAGACCCATGAGGAGTTTGTGTGTATTTAAGGCCAGGCCCAAGCTAATAATGACATTTGATGATATTTCTCCCAAATACACACATGGGAGAAACAGTATTAACCAGAGAGGAGTAAGTCACACTGTAGAGCCTGGTTTCTACCTCTGCTTCCTCCCTACACAGACAATACCTCAATCTCTTTTTACAGCTCACAAAGCTTTTCCTCCAGCACTGAACCTACCGAGCCCTCTTCTACTCATTCCCTGGGAAAAACAAAATGACGTTTAAGTTTCCCACATCATTTGACTGAAGTCACCAAAGCATTTTTAAGATCAGAGTGCAATGATTTCCAAGCTACCCATGTTCTCCATCTCCTAGAAGAGTGAAGGAAAAGCCACCTCCTTGCCCTCTGTTCCCCTCCTAACTGGTCTGTGGCAATCAGCACATCATCCTCCCTCATTACTCTTCTCCAGTGACTTGAGCATCTACCCCCATGCACATAAACCAAGTGCCCAGGGGAGTCACATCTCTGAGAGAACCCATGAGGAGAAAAGGACCACAACACTCTTCAGCCACCTTCATCTGCTATCCACACTGGCCAAGGGGCAGGCCAGGGGTTCCCAGGAAGAGGCACACAGCTGTGTACCAGCTGTTCTTGCTCCACTTCAGCAAGCAGACTGTGTACAATTAGGACATCCTGGAGCATGTAGGGGGCTTGCTAAAACAACGTTGAGTTTGTTTGGAATAAAACCTCGGGTGTTTAGTCCCTGCCATGCTCTTTTATGCTCCCACCACTTCCAAGAAAAACAGTGCTCTAAGCAGAACTTGCAGCCATCACCAGTTCTTTCGCTGATCATGAAAAAAGCTACTAGAAGAGTTTCAGCTGATTGAGAAACTGGTTTTTTCAACCTGCAAAAGTCACACATATTTAACCTCAACTTGTAAAATGAATGAACTGTACCATGTTAAATTTTAACATGAGGCTTGGCACTTGCTCAAGTGTTCACCTCCTTCACACGTGAGAGCAGACCAGAGGCACCATGGACCAAGAACAGAGTGTCCTCAAAGAACACACGCACAACCCAGCAGCCATGAATTAGGTCACGAACCATGGAGCTGCCCTGCAGCCCCCAGCGATTAGGCCAGGGGCCAGCCTGCATTAGGCACGTCACACCCAAAGCCTGCATGGCACAAGGGAGGAGCCAAAGTAGCAGGAGAAGCACAGCAAAGGGTCCAGAAACCAACACACCTGAAAAAAATAAAGTAAAAATCAAGATATACAGCACTTGAAAAATTACGTCCCCCAATGTGTTAGTTTGGCACAGCCTGGTTTTTCATAGCAGGGGGCCCACAGGGGTAGCTTCTGTGAGAAGCTGCCAGAAGCTTCCACCATGTCCAACAGAGAGTCAATCTCTAAAGGCTCTGGAGAAGGACATGATGCTGGCCCAATTAGAGAGGTTGGTAAAGCCTCTATGATGACATATTTAAGAAGAAAATCAAACAGCACATGCACAGTTTATTTTTCCAGGGCTGGTGAAGCACCATTGCTGGGGCCAACCCTGTCATGGCGTGTGGCAATGCACCACGGCCAACGCCATCTCAGGGCAGCCACACGAGCCCTGCCTGCCCGGCCACCCCAGCCAGTGTGCTGCAGGCACAGGGGCAGGGCTGGCAGCTTCTCCTCCTGATGGCCCTCATGAAGAGAGGCACCAAACAGCACCAGTGCCACAGCGGCCATCGCTGCCTGCAATGGCAATGGGGCCGCATGGCCAGCAGTGAAAACATGGCGAGCGACTCCCAGGCATGGAATCTAGGCAAGATTAACCTCTCAGCACTGCAGGATCTCACAAAAATCTCTGAATCAGTGGAACTTGTTTGCAATGGTACCTACAAGCAGCAGTTTTTCTTCTAGTCAGAGAAGAGGAGGAAGTGAGGACATGTGATGGAAAACAACATGGAGGCACCAAGGTCGGCGGAAAAGAAAGAGGGGAGAAGGTGCTTCAAGCATCAGAGCTGAGATTACTCTGCAGTTTGTTTGGTGAAACAAACTGTGCCCTTGGAATGTATGAAGTCCACAGGGGATGCAGAGATCTACTTGCAGCCCATGGGAAAAAAGGAGTGGGTGGGTGGCAGGGAAAGCTGTAGTCCAGTGGGAGACCAGACTAGAGAAAGAGAGGGCCCTTGCTTCCAGAAATAGAGAGAAAAAGCCCTTGATTCCAAACTAGAGCAGCCTACCCTTAAAAAGCTGCACCCTGTGGACAAATGACCCATGCCATAACAGTTTTGGGACAACTATTTGCCCATGGGAGGGACCCCATGGCATAGCAAAGAAAAGACTCCTCTCCCTGAGAGAACAGAAAAAGATCTCAAATAATGAACTGACTAAAACACCCAAGCCCTGTCTTCCTACACTGTCAGTGGGAAAGAGGGAGGAGCTGGGGGAAAACAGGTGCTTTAAAGGCGTCTTTGCTTTCTGGTCATCCTCCTCTCACTCTGTTAACAATAAATTTACTTTATAACTTTTTTGTAACCATTGCCTTTAAAGTGATTTTCTCCCAGTTCTGATCTCAACTCATGAGCCCTTTGTTAAATTTTTTCCCCTCTCCTCTGCTCACTCTAACAAAAGGGAACTTTGTGGATATCTGGCATTTGGCCAGTGTCAAACCATGACACCCAAGAATAGAAGACGACCAAGCTGGTGTTTAAATTACCCACCAAATAGTATTGTCTGTGTGTGACATGCAGGACAGCTGGGACATTATACAGATACAAGCCCCCTGATACTTCCTACAAAATCCCTTTCCTATTTATATCACGTGTGCATGGATCATGTATTATGGATGACCTAAGCACAAGACTGGAGCCAGACATTCACAGTCGTGGCTCTTGCTCAGTAGCAGCTCACTGTTGGTTTGGGGCTGATTATTTAATGAGATCTTCTTACACACAGAAGACAAGTGAGAAGCAAGCCCCACCATTGGTGCCAAACTGCTTTCTTCCAAAGGATCAGCACTAACTTAGCTTAGGCATTCCCTCCCCTTCCTGCCCAATACAAGAGATGAATCCTGTTCCTGTGTATTTGGAGTGCTTTTCTCATGATTGCAATAAAGGTAAGAAGCAGGCATCCCGTGTACAGATCAGACCCTCCCAGCTTTCCTGTTTCTCTCACTACATGGGCTCTTCTCAAAGGGAGCTCCTCACTGAAGGCAAAATATGCTTGAGGTAGGAACAAAGAGCACATGCAGGAACTCAAGACAGACACAAGGCAATAGGACACAAGGCAATAGGCTGGAGACACACAAACATCTTTTTCAGGTCCACGGTACACAAACCCAGGATACACTTCACACCTCTTCCAGGTAAAAGGCAAGGGGCCCAGGAAGCAAATACTCCTCCTTCTGCAGGAATACCCCAGTGTGTTGATCTGCAACTTGGCAGCCTATCCCAGAACTTCACCAACATCTTGGATGGAGAGCAACTAAAAAAACCACAACTACTATCATAGTTTTATCACTAGTAAAAGTGTCATCAGCTTAATGAGAGAGCTCACATGGTAAGATAAAGCAAAATCTAACCGTGAACGTCAGCCCTGGTGCAATTTTTTTGGGCAACTTTAATGACAAGTGAAAACAGGAAAACATCAAGCTAGAGCAGCCATTCCCTAAGTTAAGAGGGGATAAAAAATAAGCCAGAGACAACAACTTCATCAAACAGTGTCAGCTTTTTTGAATTGGGGTAGTTAGTTTTCTAGCACTGCATTCCTCTGGTGTGAAGCAAAACCCCTGTGCTCAGGCTTCATCAAGATGGGGAGGAAATGCTTCAAAAGAATCCTGGGAATGATGAGGGGGCTGAGCATGTGCTTTCACTCACACACACAACTTTCTGCTCTAGATGAAAGGCCGGGTCACAGGCTGCTTGCCCCAGAAAATAACTACTTTTTTCACTCTCCACTATAACTGAATTCTGATCCCTGTTTCCTGACAAGGTCTCCTACTGCTCCTTGTGAAAGCCTCAGCTCAGCTAAAGGCACAGCACATGCCAACTGTGCTCTGGGCAGCATGAAAACATTATCCCTGGGAACCTCTTCTGCTAAATGGCAAGGACCCTCCCTTTTTCATCTCCAGTTTTACACGGCAGGCCAAGAAAATGCATTCAAACCCCTCCCAAGTGAGCAACCCACGTGAGAAAGACATTTATGGCAGCTGGCAGCCTAACTCCTTGAGCAGTGCAGTTAATGGCATTACAGAGGAATGCAGTTAATGCACAGAGAGAGGCTGTGCAGTGCCTTGCTGGGTAAATACTGCTGGAACAAAGGAGTTTACCCAAGCCCAGCTGACACAGTGTGGAAATGTGCTTCCCCACTGTTCACACTGAACATAAATACTGTGTTTAACAGCCTGGCAGTTCTTTGAGGCTGCAGAGACCTTTTCTAGCACAGATAAGCAGCCCAGGTTGCTTTCATGTCTTGCCGGGCTGAATAAACATATACAGCTATTACACTAAGAAATGGTGACAGAAATAACCAGGTGAAAGGCAGTTTTAAACATTACATTTAGAAGACAAAAAGACATTGTTCTCCTCTTCCTAGAAGCCAGTACTGACTTGGAGCTCAGTTTGACTTAGAACTGTCAGACAGTGCCAACTGACAGGTAGTATTTCGCTGTGTGTATTGAGAAGTGACAGATCCATTTTGCAGGAGGAACTCCAGATGTTGG